CTTCTAACCACAGTCCCTCTAGAGGGACTGTGTTCTAACATATTGCTTTTGTGGGTGCCCCCGACGCGAGAACCTTTTCATAAAATCACTGGTTTAACAATCAGATATGATATCTTACGCGTGACTCTTTCCAGACAGAAAATATCACGTTTATAATATTGTTGTTTATTGCTGTCATTACAAATCAGCTTTTACCGAAAAACAATGATAATTACATTATAATCAACTCTGGCTACGGAATTTATTCGGGGTGTGACTTGATCAGTTGCGAATGACGTCTCCGTTCACCTGAATTTGCATATGTATGAAGGTCATAAACGAAAGAAGTTGGTCAAGCGTGACTGTAACATAAAGGAGACTTGGGCGTAGCTACAATCTTTCGTCAATACCTGACAAAGCAACAGTGCTGTTAAGGACAGATCTAGGTATCCACCGCCTATATTTACTCATGTGTTGAGATACTGCTTATGGACTAACATCGCTGCCAGACAGTCCCACGTTTTGTTGTGTTGTTTTTTTTTTTTTTTTGCGTGACGACTACGATGACAGGGAAGGAGTATTTCCCGATACTTATAACCCTACTGATGGTATCCAGCATATCAGGTGAGTTCTTATTACGTTTTATAAATATCCTGTTGAGCGCGCATTACTTAGTTTAGCCTGAAGGACATTTAATAGTACTTTCCTTATATCAATATCCCGGAAAGGTTGGAGTTATGAAATATGTATAAGGTAATATCCGACCACCTGTTTTGAGGCTTTCTCAAACTCTGTTATACGCCTTCAAACACGTTACTACTCCAGTGACTGCCAGGCTACACTCAGTTACCGGTGTACCTCCGTTGGTCCGGGCTAGTTACGGGTGGCATTGGTCGGTGCATGCCGGTTCGGTTAAGGTCTTATTGTAGGGTCCTGTTTACTTTAAAATTCAGAAGAATTTTGACCACGGATACCAAGGATCAATTTTTAGTTGTATGCGTTTGTTATTTAAAGCGTAAATTGGCCATGGAGCTGCCGATCAAATAATGACCCTTTTAATACAGAGGAGCCTGGATTCATTTTCCCGATACATCGTGAACAAATCTGCTGTTATATTTTATTCCGACCATATTTGCTTTCAATGCAGTACATGTAGTTGATGTGTGAACGGTTCAAGTTGTTAACACTTGTCGTGTTTGCATTCAACACTGTCAAGCAAGACGCTGACATTCATTGCCACTTTTACCCGGTGCTTGACACCCCTCTGAAAATAGTGACACAGTGGGCCACTCTTTATATTTAGGTCATGGGAGAACTAGTGACAATGGACGCAGATATTTTTTGCATAACTTTCTGTCAATGTATAGAGCTGTATACGTCCATCGACACGGGGAAATATTTTACAGTGAACGCATGTTTAGGTATAATACATAACCTAAATTTTTGTTTTGTCGGTTACAACAACAAAAGTTACATTACAATGCATCATCACAAAGCAGGCGATACGACAAATACATGCATGCATGTCGGAACAGTAAGCAAGACAAAACACGAAATTTGGCGTGAAATGTTGTTTTGTTCAGGATTTTTTTAATTTCCATTTTGTCATTAAAAGCTTTAATGAACTAACATAAGGTCGGTGTTGTATTTCTATATCGAGAAATGTACAACACATATTTGTATAATAGGAGGTGTTTCAGTTTTATAAATTGTTGACGAGTACCAACAACTAATTTTACAATTTACTAGTAATCGATCAATTTTTATTTTTCTGGAAATACTTCAAAATTACACTACGAATTTTTGGTGCATCAATCCGCCACGACCATGTTTCTCTGTATGTGTTAACAAATCATCATTCTACGATTTTAACGACGTATTCGCCACGCTACGCTAGGGTGTCTATGGCGCTTATAGACATACACACATGTGGTTATTTTGGGCAATGTACAATGAAATTAACACGTATTGAACAAGACTATTTCATCGACTCGTATCGCATACAATCACTCAATAAACTCAAAATGTGACAATATGTTTTATGTATGACCCCTGAAGGTCGCACATCCTGGAACTTTAAGGGAATATTATTGTTTTTATATACTAGTATTCACCAGTTATCATTATTGTACATCACGTGTGTTATAATTTGAACTTATGATAACGGCTTGAATTCTTTGAAAACAAATACCCGAGTCTCTCATCCATAGCGAAACCCTCGTTAATATAAGGATGCTTAACCTTTAGGGTGCTTAGACTTGTAAAATTCTATACAAAAGACAATTTCATCTTCGAACTTAAAGTTATAACTTTATCTATAAATAATTGTTATAGCAAACGTTATATAGACGACATCTCGTATGTTTATTTGTACGTGCGAGTTTGCTCTGGGTCGGTGGTTGTGGGTACAAGCCTTGTAGTCGTACTATCTCAGTCCTTTATCGTCTTAATTCAATTAGTAGAACTCACTTTATCTTTCGTATAATAATTTGTTTCTGTGTATGATATATGGTCGAGTTGCTGCAAGGCAAATAATTTCGCCTTATACCAGTAATAGAATTGGTATAATGCAGTACGTGTCACTGCACAGGTCATACTCGATGTCACATTCTTAGCCTCCCCGGAGGGTTCAGTGAATTGTGTTTTAATGCGACATGGTATAAGTCTATCATCTCTGTAGATAGTGCATGTCCTTCTCAGACGGCTTTTGCTTTTTAACAGTTTTGTTAAATTCAGGCGCGAATTCACCTTTGACCTGCTAGCGACTGTACATAGGAGACGCTCAACTTTTCACCGATGTGGGGGAAAAAACAGGTCGTTACAAATGAATTACAAATGCAGAACACGTTGTTTTGTTATTGAACTGCGTACTAATCTAATATGTAAATTAATGTACACATCATTTGATACATTCCAACTAACCACAGAAGCTCAATACTAGTAACCTCGCCGCTTCGGGATAATTTAAGGGCGTGTTACACAATATTTCTTCACAAGTAATATACACCTCATTGTTAAATGGACATAATTTACATATTCTTTCATTGCGTCAAGTCACCCGATCATGTCTTGTTACGCACCAGGCTTTTAATTTCGTACAATGCACATACAGGCACAAGCGAGGTCACACCAAAATCAACTACCCGATGCCAAGCCGAAAATTGGTTTATGCCAAGCTGGGTTTAGTGCAAGCCTACTTTTCCCCGCATATACTGATTAACTTTCTCTTCTCAATCCTACTAATGCCTTTGTTTACAACGAACTTAGTTCACGTAAAGACTTTCACGTTATGGCGAAACTGTGTATGTTCTAAAAACGTATAGAAGACGTTAACAAACAATACCTATATCTACCTACAATATCGAACACTTACATTTTGACTGAACATTACAAAATGAAAGACAGTAACGCTAGGAAATCGGGGGTAGGGTGGGTTGGTCAGCCATTTTTATTTAATATTATATATTCGACTTGTATCATCATCCCATCAGCTTGCGCATGGAGGTAAAACGAGTCTCCTTGATCTTACGTGGCTGGGTATACAGCTTACTTACTGTACTCGAATCAATTTTACACGGATAATGGCACGTACTTCTCATGGAGGAATGTCTACGCACGAAATTCAGTTCCCATTCTGGTATCTCTATACCAGTTTACTGTCACAATCACGTATGTGTAGTATATATAAAGTAATTAACCCCCGTACACTTTAATGCGTCGATTAAATGACTCCACATATGTTATTACGTCCCAATTATTATTAATGGTTAGTCACGTGGTGTGGTAGTTGTCATGGACAACAATCAACTCGACGACACATTTTAAATTCACCAAACTGTCTACAAGACTCACTTCTTCGTTGAATTATATCGTTGAAAAACACACTGTCAGTGCATTAATCAAGTTAATACTCTGAAATATGAGGCTGTCACTAGTTTAAGCATAACACACGTCATTTGTGTTGACATTCTCGATCGGTTTCTATGAACTTTGCTGGTATGCACGACACTGTCGACTTACTGACACACCCTGAATTACGACCCGAATTGAGTGCGACACTGTGGCTCTGTCCTCAAACAATACAATGTAGAAATCGAGTAGCTACTTTCAACTGCACTGTCAAGAAACTTGACACACCTTAATTCCAATGAAAACACTCGAATGGCTTGATTTCAATAAGTTCTGGTTACCCGGGATGTCAATTGTGCGAGTACGAGAACACGTCTATATAAGTTATATAACAATTGTTCTGCCTTCTCTCGCATTGAGTGGTTTCGCAATTAACGGGAATGCCACTACGGATTCCGTGCGTCATGCAGAATGAAATCATATCGAAACAACGCGACAGTTAAACATTATATTCGTGACAGGTGAAATATATGGCGTAAGTGCGGTGGACCAAATAGTGATTTGGAGACAGTGTTCTCGTCAGGGCAATACAAAATTAGATACTAAACATATCGGCTGACATATTCCAGTATACCTGTGATTGTGACTGTTTACGAAACCAGCTTTAAAAAAAGAACAATGAAATCAGTTCACAACGTAGCAGCTGCCTTCGTGAAAGCACGCACTATAGAGTGTCTGCTCAATATATACCAACCAGCATGGCTTGCATTGATTTATAATAACACGGTGACCTTACTTGACCTATATTCATTAGATCAATTTAATCACTCTATTGGATTGTGTGTGTGTGTTCGTAGAGGTGACCTACCAAGAAATACAAACGTCGGAAATTGACATCCTCACATTACGATCTACAAATGGTGTGTAGAGTGCAAATCACGGATAATCTACAGAATCAACGCTGCTATAAAATAAAATAAATTTATTAGTTGTCTGAGTCTTATTGCTGTGTGTGTGCGCGCAGCTCAGGCGATTTGCATTTCACTATTTTTCCTTCACTTTACGCGATGCTGTCTTGTCAACTGACTGGCGACCTTCAAAATAGCGACCTTTGCAATTGTCCCAGTAAAGGGTACTGATACACAATTGAATTGAATTGAATATTATGATTCGAACCGGAACACCCAGCTGCATGGACACACATCACAAAATCATGCTTCACGATTAATCGACCGTAGGTAGCTGTATTTGACGTGTTCGTTTTCCGAGGTGAGACTTTTCACCTGACACACGTTCGGAATTTATACTTGGCATATTTCCAGGAGATAATTTTGAAGTAAAATTCGTTTTCTGACGACCGCCTTATACGGTACTACATGTTTTATTGCAAGGGATAACTTGTGTTACACCCCTAGTAATTACTGAAAGTCGGTCTCAAGTTCCTAAACACATGCGAACGATGATCCCACATTTTCGTGCAAGGCAAACCAACACCCACACTCACGTCAATTCATACATCTCTATGACAATTAAACGTCCATAATCGACAATTGATTGGTAGGGACAACGCTTTGCATGATCTTAGGTGGACATTGTTAACACGTCTGTAATACGTCAGTTTTCGGTTTGTGCATTTCATTTTATTTACAATTATTTCACACTATATAAGTTTTTAAAATTAAATCTTAGTTTGCGGTGATTTACGTATATTCAAACACATGCATACTATAAGGACTCTCTAAGTTCTATTAATAAAGTTTGACATCATCAAAAAGAGTATTATTTGTATTCGACCCCCACAACGTAATACTCCTCTTAATTGGACCATGTTAATTATGACGTTATTAGTGTATTCTAAATCCGGACTTAGGATAAATATAAATGTTTTGTTTGGTTAACGTTCGTTTCCATGCGAAGTTTGAAACATTTTATACAACTTAGAAAACAGTGCTAGTTTTATCTCACATTGACCCAGAGATAAAATGGCGCGAGGATATAGAATGAATTAATCAGAAATCCGACAACCTAATGTTGAAAACAGTTGTCAAGCTTGGTATGTTTTATAACTATTTATATCACACGTACTTTTTACTAAATGCTAAGCATGATACTAGTTTCACTATAAATGGAAACGACTAATAACCAGAAGTATTAAATGTACGCTTGAAATAAATACTCGCTACATAGTATTTGCCCTATATATGTATTTTGATTTATGTGTAGCAAAATTAAAAAAAAACACGTATGCCGATTGGAATCATTCACATCATATATATATTCCATCGTATAAATTAATCGAATTAAATAATTAATTAATTATTAGCTGTGTTTAATTTTTTTTGTATAATACCGTGGTTTCAGATTTTGTGTTTTGATTCCCGAATCTGAAGCGATTACAATTTAAATGTACAATTATATAAATGAAATAGTTTACGATGTATAAAACAGACTGATGCATGGTAATGTTAAACTCAAAATGTTTTTATATGGTACTTCAAATGCATTTACACTGTGCACATTTTAGGGTATAAATCGAAACACGAAAATTAAATTCCCATGTAAGTGAAATCCGCTAAATTAAATTTGTGTGAATATATACAGTTACAGTTATAAACTCTGCTTATTTGAACAATTTGTGAGTTTGGCATACAGTAAAAATGATCAAAATATGGATCATGAAAATATATGCTTTTATAGGAGTTAACTTATACAAAGTCAGAGGTCACGTAAACCATGTATTGTACGATTGCAAATATCGACGACGTAATGTAAGTATTTAGCTGTGCAAACTCGCAGATAGATTCATTATTTGTTAAGCGTATTCCTATACAATATTGAACGTACACCATTAATCCCCTTGCAAATAACCGGCATGCCCGAGTGTTGCTATTTGCGGACTAAGACGTATTTTGCATACTGCACACATACACTTAACACAAATGACAAAAGACATTATAGTGAATAAGAAGGCGTTAATATAGTTCATGTGTTTCTTTATTTTAAACACGAATATGTTATTATTCAAATATTCCATACTCGGACCGGTCACTGGTAGCATAGTGGTTGTCGCTCCAGACTCATGATCGGTAGACCCAAGTTCAAATCCTACCTGAGGCTGAACATCAAAGGGTCAACCCCTACCATGGGTGAGTGTGCCACAGACTCAATGGGAAGGCCAATTCTACTGGCCGAGATTCATTCACTAACGAATGCGACTTTGGGGGAACCTTTGTTAAGGTCCGCAGGTGCTTGTGTTCGACCGAGCCTGGTTGACGCCAGGATAGCGCATTAAAATTGCCATTTGACAGAGAGATGGCCACACAGCCCTGCCATGTAGTCCCAAACATGAATATGACTTCTGTGGCAAAATGCACTATGTGTCAGCACTAGCACTTGCAATTTGCTCATACAAGAAAAAAAGTCAGGAGAGACAACGGTGACATTCAATGTCCAGAACTGTCGCCTGGCACAAAAATATTTAAAAAAAAAAAAAAAAAAAAAAATATTCCATACTCATTAGATATGATTTCTATCATAGCCAACGAATAAATTAGAGTCATTTTGAAGACGGTTGCTGCGAATTATATTTTCGACCTCTTTTGCGTTGAAATCAACCAGGGAATAAGTAATAAAATTGTTATCCAGAACGTTGTTAGGTGAATCATGGTCTTTAGTATCTCAAGTCTCTGGTAAACTGACAAATAGTGTGTGTAACTGTCACGGTCTCCCCCCTAAGCGTCTTCATATGTGTTTATTACTTGTTTTTACAGCGAACTGTGTCCTTCCAGACTATCCATCTAACGTGGATTGCTATACTACAGCGATAGATGGATCGTGTAACGACACAACCGTGGTGACGTCACCCGGCACTGTGCTGGCGACTGGTAGTTTCATATATGTACAGTGTGATAACGGTTTTGAGTCTACAAATACAGGGTATAGCTGCTTCACAATTATTGGTACATCTAGTATAGCCCCAACGCTGGGTGATTCCGCTTGCGCAAGTAAGTAGTTGTATGGTTGAACTGTGACAGCAATCTATGTACATGTAGTTAGAAATTATCACTCAAACACAATAAGGAGGTATATACGATGTCCTTGAAAATTCTCTCGAGTTTGCAAGCTAATTCTTATATATGTTACACCCTATAGAGTACAAACTGGGCTATGAAACGAGATTTTCATCAATCTGAATTTCCTTCACGTTTGTCCTATGTTACGTAACACACCTAAAATAACATGTATGTTACGGACCCATTACTGGATTAAGCTAATACGTTTTGTAAATGCATTTCAAATACAAGGGAAAGCTAAATATTTAATTATATTACAAAATATTTCTTCATTAAGTGAAATGTACCTTAATTTGGTTTGAGAGGTGAAACAATCTTGTGAGTATTACAATGTATGTGATATTCAAGTTGCGTATTTAAAACTGCTGTGCTGGTAATTGTTAATTTATATGCCGTGTTTCTAAGAGAGCATTAATCGCATAATCTAGTAAGTCGGTATAATACAGTTACATGCTGTGCATGCCATTGGAAGATGCACCCAATTTAGCTGAAATGTATGTTACTCATGGTGACGTATATTCCAGCCACGTAATATTGCATTTACGAACGAACGACTAAGAATTGACTTGTTTTACAACTATAAATTTATTTCGCTATATTTGATTTTGAAAAAAATCAACTCAGTGTAGTATATTGCATTCTAACCATTTTGACAGACTCTTACATTATCTATGTGTGATCACTGGTTACATATATTCTATTCTAAGTAATTACTGGTTTATGTACAATCACGTTCATTTATGTTATTTATGAACGATATTATTACAAACGACCGAAAGAGCATGCTAACACACATACAAATTTATACCAATTATTCAACAAACGGTAACGGTTTAGTTATACTTCCACTGAGTTTTTTGTTATTTTGCATTATTAAATCACTATTCACAGACAAACACTACAAAAATAACGTACATTGTTCAGAGGTGTTTTGAACAATGTTATAGGTATATTCTCAATCCAGTATACGGAGTTATGCGGAGTTAACACTTTACTTGGAACGGGTTTTGATTTAACGTAACGTTTGAAAATGCTGGTGAAATTTTGATAATTCAATATACTTTTACTTCCGGATTTTCTAATTGCTTTCCTATTATGTTTGGGCTTATAACATTCGGTTTATAACGGATTGATATTTTATGTCACGTCCTAGGATAATTAAGAATATTCACTGTTATCTGTAAAAATAGTTTTGTACTTTATTTTCCAGAACTTTGTCAGGATCCTGGAAATCCAAGTTTAGGATCACGAAGTCCAGATCCAACGGTAGATGGTTCATTTTATGAGACAGGTGACCAGGTTACGTTTACATGTGGTGTTAATACCACGACGTACGGTGTAGACACGTTCACGTGTGACGACGGAGACTGGACAGTCGGGGGTAATATACAAACAGCTCTTCCACCAGAATTATGTTTCTGTAAGTGACAATGAAACTTATTATTAAGAGATTAGAAATATTCTCCGAGTGTATTCCCCATCATATACCGGTATAAATAAATTGATTTTAATACATCGGTGTAGGTTTTAAAGTGTGTGATGTAACTACAAATATATAAAATCCCATTCCGATTCCAATATTATCATTCTTTAAATTACATATTTTGTTAAATCAATTGTGCAAGGCTCGAATGGCAAATTAATCATAGACATATATTCTTAAACGTTTTCTATTTTATAGTAAATTGCCAAAAACCCGACGCTCCAGAAAATGGCAAAGAAGTCGACGGTGCAAGTTACGTACACGCGGGTTCCGTTGCTTACGAGTGTGACGGAGAGAAAACCATGATAGGCAGTTCTACTCTCACATGTTATAATGGAACATGGGATAATTCGGTACCTTTATGTGGAAGTAAGTTTGATTACAATCAAATCGTTTCACTTAATATGAATTCTGGGAATTCTGATAACTTGAGAATTGGGGATAGTTTTATATCAGTATATATATATATATATATATATATATATATATATATATATATATATATACATAATATAATTACTGAAGTGGTGACGACAGTCAACAGTGGCCTACCTTTGATACCGACACAAGAGTCAACACTTTCATTAGTTGTGGATGCTACAAGTAGTAGTGCTGGAGCTGGTGCTACTGGGAGCAATCTTTGGGCCATTAAAGTGTTTCTCAGTGATTCCAATTCTGGGGCTACACGATATTTGGAATCCGATTCCAATTTAACGCAAGAGGAGGCAGACCAGGAGCTGACGCCAGGTGGCGCTATCACATTCGATTTTGATTACGCGGTGACACCCACGTCATGTGCTACGTACGTATGCGCTGAACTACGACAAGGCTCTAACACAAATTTCACGCTTGATGCATTTGATGGCGACAGTACACTCATAGGATGCACGACAATAACATGTGGTAAGTACAACAATCTAAAGTTATAACGTTTACCGATGAAATGAAAGAATCTAATCGGCTGATCGTTCTCGTCTAACTACAGTTCGTTGAACTTAACGCTATTCTTACCGGTAATGTATAATATTCGGTTTATTTACTATACGTGTTTTAGATACAAAACTAATAAATTGATAATACATTACGACGTTTGCTAATTCATCAACTCAATTTTCAAATCGAGTGAACAGTATTCTTCCCCATTACCTATAATCCGTTGCTACAACACATCAAGTAGCATATCTAATGTTAATGAGTTTAAACGTGTTCCAATATTGAGATTTTAACAGTGGATACACTTCTCGACAGAATTTCAATTGTCTTGTAATTGTTCTGGCGGATCTTGTGAATGGTAGTCGTGGAAGTTAAAATAAAATATACCCATAGATGTCACACGATATATGCTATTAATGTTAATATCATATGTGTGGTGAATATAACTAACACACCGAGCTGAAAGAAATGACACATTATTGTGAGTAAATGTGACAGTCAATTAGATATACGTATTATGTGTATATTCCAGGATGTCCCACACCCGGCACTTTAAAAAAAAGAGTACAGATTAATTCCGGTTCAGCTCCATATAATGATGGTGATATTTTAACACTTGCATGTGACCAGAGTAATTCAACCGATGGTTACAGTCTATTTGGTGGGCCTGAATTGAAATGTGAAAATGGAATGTGGTCAGAGAATCCAGAGTCCGCAGTGTTCTGTTTCGGTAAGTTTGTATTACTTGTATAATGGTAAATGTTATCTAGTATACGCATACAGAATATTATTACTAATTTTTGAAACGAGTAATGCATTATATACAATTTCGTAAAAAAAAAATACATATAAAAAAAATGCTAAGAAAATAATGCAGCTTTGGAAACTTGATTCGTCAGTTCTGTCACAGACCGCTTGTAATTACCCGTATAATGAAATAATATCTCCGGATAAGTCTAGCTGTCAACACTCGATATACATTCCGTTCCTAATTTAAATAGAGTGGATTGGCTATTACATACATCGAAATCTCTGTTAAAAATAATAATTTGTGTTTTATCAATATTGACAAAGAATCTTCACCTACCACAATACCCCATATCTTGAAACATTGAAACATCGTACATACTTCTACACAGAATATCAGATTGGTATCTATGCCCTTGCAATCAATTTATGCTATATCGTGGCTCCATCGATATAAGCAAACCCATATGAAAGTCTACAATGCGCATATGATCTTTCTGTTTCTTACATTAATGACAACACAGAACAACTTTCTCATAGCACCAAGGAAAGTAATACATCTGTAGTTTGACACATAATGAATATTAACCTTCTTATATATAGTATACATCAGGCCATATTACGAGAATTCTGGATAATAAACCGTAGAAAAAAATAAGTTGAAGAGTTTGACAAGTGACATGTATAGCGAATTCGTAGCATGAAGTATAAGTTCATTTTTAATTCCGCTTGGACTACCCGGTTGTTCATTGTTTGCAAGTGTTATAAAACGCGCACAATGTTCATGGTTAACTGGTCGACTGTAACATCATCTTACCGGGTGAATTGTTCTCTGGCCAGTTGTAAGTGTTGTTTATCGAAATAACAATTTGAGAACTCACTAAGATTTTCAAAATGCTCTAAGCCTGACGTTTTTGGTTTCAACTCTGAAGAAAAATCTTCTAAGAGAACAAACAAGTTGAGCGTTTAGATTGTCGCCTTTAGTGTATGCTCATTTTCTTTTCAAGCTGGCCATCTTTTTAATTGTAGTAGCTTTATTTCGTAAAATGTCTGACTATATTATTTTTAAATAAATACACCCGAGCCCTTCAGAACTGAAGAAGCCTTACGTACGCGGTCCCTAACTTGATAGAAAAGAAATTTGGCAACAACGACAGATAACTTCTTGATGGGCCACCGAGTGGCTTGCAAGGGCGTTTTTTCACACATCTCCTAACTTCCGTTTGCATGCTCTCAGTTAGAATGGCTTAATGAATTTCACACAATCTTCTTTTTCATTCTCGTTTACACTTTAAGGTGCACGAGGTTATTCATACAGCGCTGTATTTAAATATGAATATGAATATGAAAGCTACGGTGATTGTAGGGGGGATTGAGAGTAGGGTTTCACTTATCTCAACTCTAACGAGCGTAAAGTTCAAGGCGCGTAAAACAAGGGACGGTCGATCAAAGAAACAGGAAACAAACAACGATATCAAGAAACTGCTTTTATTAACTCGTCACTCGAAAAGGTTACATGTACTCGCGCGCTAAAACAAGTATTGAGGCCTTTTATAGGCTCGGTAGGATCAGCCACCGTAACAAATTTTAGCGGGCTTGGTGCTGATTGGTTCATAGTGCCATGACCTATGATTGGTTAATAAGAGAATAGCATTTGAAATGGCGTCTGCTATCATTATTTGTACTAGTTCTCTTCGAGTTAAACATGTAATAAAGACGGTTGAATTGAATAAACACAATAACAATATAAGAAAGAACTGAAACACAATTGAATAATATTGAATCCATAATACAATTGAATATCACAGTAATAATTAGGGAAATAATAGTGGATTATTCTCCCTCTCATCGACAGTGATATCGTATTCACTTTTATGTAATGGAAACATTTTCTCAACGTTGCCCCTTGTCTTAAATCTATTAAATTGCACATGTGTGCGAGCGAAAAGTCTAAAGTAATAGTTATTTTGTATTTATAGTGTATACGACAAAAATATTTTAATAAGATATTTACTGTTTACATTGTCATATTTGAATGTGATCATGTTTCTTTTTTGTAGAAAATTGTCCAGACCCAGGAATACTGAAGAACGGTAACGTGACTTGTCAATATTCAAGCCTATGCTACGCTGCAACTATGCAAATTACACTGTCATGTGACGACGGCTTTCAACTTGTTAACGGTCTGGATACGTTTACATGCCAGTTAGATTTTTCCGATTTTTCTGTAATGTGGAACCCGGAATTTAATTTTTCCACCAGTAATCCAGAATGTCAGCGTAAGTGTAATATTGCCTATATTTACACAATGGTTACAGGGATTTTATCACACGGGAAATGTACTAGTGTATAAGCTTCAGTTTACAAAGAAATTATTATGTACACATATTCGCACTACGAGAAATATACGAGTCTGAGTTGTACACAATATTTTTTGACGTTATATGTACACTGACCGAGAAATATATTAGGGTTAATTGTAGACAGACATTCCGTTTTCGACATTTTCTTTCGTTTTTATACAGAAAATACAGTACTTTAACCAAGTAAAATTATATTGATTTAGTTATTTTTTATATATAAGTTGTTCAATGCACTACATACTTAGTAATTTCGTTCAGCGACCTCTAATCATTATACAGGACAAATAAAATACAAAAATATAGTAATATTTTCTGTAATATTCTTGTGTAATCGGTAATCACGAACATTATCATTGGTGGGCATATGAAATCATTTTCTTGTCAAAATCAGTTGTTTTCATTTTTACCCAAAATACGAAAGAATTTCCTAATATCGACTGGACTATTATTACACGACAAATTGAATCGAAGTCATGCACACACAATTGACATCTATATGTGAATAAGTGAATTATATACCAAAACATGATACAAATATGAAATTGATATTATACGTACATTTTTATTGGACGAGACACTAATTTACAACTTACAACACACGTACATTTGTCGGATCAATCTCAAATAACCACACTGGCCATTTCAATGTACAGGCATATGTGAAGACCCAGGTACCCCTGATAACGGAGAATTGGTAGAGGGTTCTCTTCCTGTAATACCGGGGGAAACAATAACGTATGCGTGTAGTACTGGATACACGATATCATCTGCTGCTGCATTACAGTGTCAAGACGATGGGTCATGGGATAAAGAAGTACCGGTTTGTTTTGGTAAGTGAATATTATGCGCGTTTAAAAGCATGAACGAATGACACATCAAATTAAAGTTTGTATGCATAAATTCCTGACGGTAACTGAAGAAATATGTCACAATGCTGGGAAAAACCAGCCCTTAACAGGAAATGAAATGTTGCTTTTCATAATATATATTTAATACTATATAAATTTGTTTTCTAGCAAGCTGTATGTATGAAAACATAACTTATCTAGAATGGACGGAGTCAAAAGTCATGTACGCACACGAAGAATATATTACACTAAGCTGCACAGAACCTGCTATAATGGAAGGTCCTAATACTGTACAGTGTCTGAACGGAACGTATGTTCCAGAACTTCCAGTATGTGAAGGTACGTGTGAATATCAGTTCAGCAACACTATGTATTACTAAATAATGTAACCAAATATACAATATATCGTTATGTAAGCACTTAACCACATTATTCCTGTACATTAGAATAACAGCATATGTGCATATAATATATAGCGTAAAATGATAATATCGTGTTTCCTTTCCCGACTAAACCTATTCGATTTTAAGTTATATGGTGTATAGTGTAGTAGCGCATTATTGGGTGCCTTTCCACACGTCTTCTTGTCAATAGTGCACTCAGGTTGGCTCACAAGTAATGATGCAAATACTCACCGTGGTTACTGCATACTATGTTTATATTCTTAATGTCACTACTTCAACACATTTACGTGATTTTGTGTACTTGGCATGGCTTACATCGATTCCTTTATATAATACAACTAATTATAAGGACATCCGAAGAGCTTTCAAATCTATCTGTACCCGGGTACATACCAGAGTTTTGTCAGATTGTCATAATAACATCGCATAAACCATTCGACGTAGGAGTGATGGAACCCAGATTGATATATGTCAACCAGCACCACGAACCTATTGTACACTTCACTATCGTCACTACATATCTACCCGATATCACGCTTTCCGAGTCAAGCCACCCTGTACCATACATTCTATTCACAACCAACATCTCCACCACCGTGACCTTCCTCGCATTTCCAAGTCGCATACTATAATTTCTCAGTTATCGGTAAAAGAAAACATCACATGGTAAGATGAACTAACGAAATAATGCATTGACAGTATCTATAAAAATCACCACTAAATCACAAATAAATTCGTATTTGACCTGTGTAATTTAATAAACAAATTAATTACAAATAAACTACATAATTTCACTCTATTTTTACTGAACAGGAATTACGACCACGACACAGACTACTTCAGCAACTGTGACAACTGGAACGGAAGGACACACAGTTATTACAAAAACAACTGATACTCCTCTCGCTTCAATGACGTGGTTAGCAAGTGGTACTGTCGCAGACGACGAGACAACAGAAACTGATAAACTGTCGACTCCAACAGTAACATATATTTTTACGACCATTTCTGAGACACAAACTGACGAGGTACAGACATCCGTACCATATACTAGCTTTCAACCGAGCACACACAGTGCGCCAACAGTAGGTGTGACTTCACGCTTTGTTTCAATATCGAGCAATCTTGAGACATCAGATTTAGATTTCAGTACTCACGCTATATCAGAAACTGGCACTGCAATCACCGACGAAACATCAACTACATCTGTAGTTAGCACTGCAAGTATAACAGAAACTGGCACAGCAACTCAGGATGAAACATCAACTACAACAGGGCTTAGTACTGGGGGTGCAACTGAAGCCCACACATTAACTGCAACAGCAACTAATAGCGAAATGTCAACTGTAGCTGGGATTAGTACTACAGGTATAACAGAAACTGGTACTGAAACTGAAAGCAAATTACCGACTGCAGTTTCAGTTAATACAGCAACAGCAACTGATATTGCAAGTCAAAGTGGAACATCAACTGTAGATGAGGTTAGTACTGTAGATATAACAGAAGGTGGTACTACAACCAAAGATAAAACGGTGGCTTGGATTAGTACTACAGGTAAAATAGAAACTATTACTGAAACTGAGGTCGAAACATCAACTGCAGCAGGGGCTAGTACATCAGGAACAACAGAAACAGATACTGCAACTGAGGAAGAAACACCAACTACAGCTACAGTTAGTCCTGCAAGTATAACAGAAACTGGCATTGGAACTAAGGATGAAACATCAACTACAACTGGGGTTAGTACTCTGGGTATAACAAGAGGTGGTATTACAACTCAAGACGAAATATCAACAACAGCTTCGGTTAGTAATGCAAGTATTACAGAAACTCGTACTGCTACTGAAGTCGATGCAACAACTGCAACTAAGGTTATTACCCTAAGTATAACAGAAGCCGGTAGTACAATTCAAGATGAAACATCCACTGCAGATAGAGTTAGCACTGCAAGTATAACAGAAGCTGGTACTGCAACTGAAGTTGAAACATTAATGACAACTGTGGTTAGTACTGCAGGTATGACAGAAACTGGTACAAAAATTCGAGACTGGACATCAACTGCAGATGGGATTAGTGTTGCAGCTAGAACAAAAACTAGTATTGCAACTGAAGACCACACATTAACTGAAGCTGCAGTTAGTACTGCAGGTATTAAAGGAACTGGTACAGCAACTAATAGCGAATTATCAAGTGCACCTTCAGACAGTACTGTAGGTGTGACAGAAACTGGTATTGCAACTGAAAGTAAAACATTAACTGCAGCTGCTTCATTTAGCAGTACAGGTAGAATAGAAACTGGTATTGCAACTGAAGTCGAAACATCAACTGCAGCTGCAGTTAGTGCTTCAAGTATAACAGAAACTGGTAGTGCAACTGAAAGTGAATTATCAACTGCAGCTTCAATTAGTACTGCAGGTAAAACAGAAACTGGTATTGCAACTGAATTCGAAACATCAAATGCAGCTGCAGAAAGTACTGTAGGTATAATAGAAACTAGCACTACAACTGAAAGCGGAATGTCAACTGATACTAGGGCTAGTGCTGCAAGTATAACGGAAACTGGCACTGCAACTGAAAGTGAATTATCAACTGCAGCTTCAGTTAGTACTGCGGGCAGAACGGCAACTGATACTGCAACTCAAAGTGGGATATCAACTGTAGTTTCAGTTAGTAGTGCAGGTAAAACAGAAACTGGTATTGCAACTGAAGTCGAAACATCAACTGCAGCTTCAGTTAGTACTGCAGGTATATCGGCAACTGGTTCTGCAACTCAAAGTGGGATATCAACTGTAGCTGGGGTTAGTACTGCAGGTATAACAGAAACTCGTACTGCAACTGAAGACGAAACATCAACCGTAGCTCGAATTAGTACTGAAGATGAAAGAGAAACTGCAGTTTCAGCTAGTACTGAAGTTACAACAGCAAATGGTATCGCAACTGAAGAGGAAATATCTGCAGCTGCAGGTAGTACTGCAGTTGTAACAGAAAGTGCTATTGTAACTGAAACAGATAGATCAACTGCAGCTTGGGTTATTACTGCAGGTGTAACAGAAACTGGTACTGCAACTGGAGACGAAACGTCAACGGTAGCTTGGATTAGTACTGAAGATGAAAGGGAAACTGCAGCTTCAGCTAGTACTAAAGTTACAACGGCAACTAGTATCGCAACTGAAGACGAAACATTATCTGCAGCTGCAGTTAGTACTGCAGTTGTAACAGAAAGTTCTATTGCAACTGAAACAGATACATCAACTGCAGCTTGGGTTATTACTGCAGGTTTAACAGAAACTGGTACTGCAACTGAAGACGAAACGTCAACGCTAGCTTGGATTAGTACTGAAGATGAAAGGGAAACTGCAGCTTCAGCTAGTACTAAAGTTACAACGGCAACTAGTATTGCAACTGAAGACGAAACATTATCTGCAGCTGCAGTTAGTACTGCAGTTCTAACAGAAAGTGCTACTGCAACTGAAACAGATACATCAACTGCAGCTTGGGTTATTACTGCAGGTTTAACAGAAATTGTTACTGCAACTGGAGACGAAACATCAACGGTAGCTTGGATTAGTACTGAAGATGAAAGAGAAACTGCAGCTTCAGCAAGTACTGAAGTTACAACAGCAACTAGTATCGCAACTGAAGACGAAACTTCTGCAGCTGCAGTTAGTACTGCGGGTGTAACAGAAAGTGTTATTGCAACTGAAAGCGAAACATCACCTGCAGCTGGGATTAATACTGCGAGTATAACAGAAACCGCTATTGCAACTGAAAGCGAATTATCAACTGCAGCGTCAGCTAGTACTGCAGGTAGAACAGTAACTGATATTGCAACTCAAAGTGGGACATCAACTCTAGCTGGGGTTAGTTATACTGGAATAGAAACTGTAACTGCAACTGAGTTTGAAACGTCATCTGCCATTAGGGTAAGTACTGCTGGGAAAACAGTAAATGGCACTGAAACTGAAAGCAAAACTTTAACTGCATCTTCAATTAGTACTTCTGGTAGAACAGAAACTGGTATTGCAACTCAGGATGAAACAACAAATGCAGCTGGGATTACTACTGTAGGAATAACAGAAACTGATACTGCAATTGAAGTCAAAACATCACCTGCAACTGGGATTCGCACTGGGGGTATAACTGAAACTGATACTGTAGCTCAAAGTGAAACATCAACTGCAGCTTCTGATACTACTGCAGGTATAACAGAAACTGGTACTGCAACTGAAAGTGAATCATCAGCTGCAGCTAGGGTTAGTACTGGAGGTATATCAGAAACTGGTACTGCAACTCAAAGCGAACAAACATCTGCAGCTGGCACTCAATTTCACAAAGACGCATCAACTGCATCTGGGATAGGTTCAACTATTGTGACAGAAACAGGGACTGCAATACAAGACGAAACATCTTCTCCAGACAAATCAAGTACTCCAGCTGAAACAGGTACCACACAATCAAAACGAAAAATAGCACTATTAAATATGGAACGCCAACTGCAGCTAAATTTAAGAAATATACCGTCTGAGCCAAATCACGGAGTTCGCGAGATATGCGAGATCCTAATTTATGCAGCCGTCTATGCTAACAATATACACCTAAGCAATCATTCGGTATGACACAAGAGCATAAGATATATTTACCGGAGTTAGCGAGTTTCGTATGTAGACTACGTGTATGCAAAATCGATAAATTATAACAAATAAAATTATAATTTTGGTGTACTTCTATGAACCATACAAATAAAAAGTGTCCTAAATCTTAAAAACAAAATCAAATAACGATTGGTTATCCACGCGTTCTTTTTCAAACGGGAGCAAGCCCTGGAACTAGCAATGTTCCATTTTATTACGGGAGCCCATAGAAATTTCGCATGACAATTTTTTTTAATTCACAGCAGATAACTTCAAATTCTCGGGACAGAGCTGTAAGTGCACAACGCCGACTTCGCAATACTGCAGCTACTGATGCGTTGTTAACAACCAATTCCCCGGGTGACTCTGATTTTGAACAATGTTTGTATCGCTGACGTCAGGGTGCAATAATAATCGATCAATCTACGTTTTCTCAATATGTACATGAAAACTTTGGTTTATTTCTGTATTCAGAATGTTTTTGTTTTTTTTCAAAACCAGCACCTAGAATAATGAGGAATTGGTTATTTGGCACTCGACCGAATACTATAAATAATGTTCGCGTTCCAGAAGTCAAGAATAGAATGCGGTGTGTCATATTCTGTCTATTTTATAGTATGCGGATTCGTCGGTGGTGGCGCTGTTAAATATTTAAAGTATTTTACAACTCTCATATACGCAGCTATTGATAACTTACGGCTTTCTCAATTTATCCAATACGTATCAAAACGGTAAAGACATTAAATAGAGATCTAATGGCGCAGTATCCAGTATGTGCGTATATTATTATACTCATAACTAGTTACCCGTGGGACCCATGGCGTGTAACTAGTACACTAACATTAAATTTATCTTATTCCAAACATTTTTCAAAGCAGAATGTATCAATGATCCAACACTTTCCACTAACGCCCTTGGATATATACCCTTGGTCAATATATCCCCAAATCACATCATAGACCTATAGAATATATCGTTATATGAGCACTTATCCACATTATTATTTTACATTAGAATAACAGCATAAGCGTACTGATGTATGTAGCGTAATAGCGTAAAATGGTAATATCGAATTAGAAGTCTGGTCGATTTGGGAGTATTTGGTGTAGAAGCGCATAATCGGGTGCTTTTTCACGTGTCGTTTTGTCAACATTGCACTCAAGTTGGCTCACATGTAATGATTCAAATACTCACTGCATACTATGTTTATATTCCCAATGTCACTGCTTCAACAAATTCACGTGATTGTGTGTAATTGACATGGCTTATATCGATTTCTTTATATAATATAACTAATTATAAGGACATCCGACGAACTTGCAACTCTATTGTACCAGGGTGCATACCAGAGTTTTGTCAGATTGTTTTATAATAACATCGAATAAACAATTCGACGTTGGAGTGATGGAACCCAGATTGATATATGTCAACCAGCACCACGAACCTATTGTACACTTCACTATCGTCACCACATATCAACCCGATATCACGCTTTCCGAGTCAAGCCACCCTCTACCATACTTTCTATTCACAACCATCATTTCCACCACCGTTACCTTCCTCACACCTATAATTCGCACGCTATAACTTCTATGTTATCCATAAAGGAAAACATCACATGGTAAGATGAACTAACGAAACAATGCACTGACCGTATCTGTAATAAATCACCACTAAATCACAAATAAATTCGTATTTGACTTGTGTAATTTAATAAACAAATTAATTAAGAAATATACTACATAATTTTACCCTATTTTTACTGAACAGGAATTCCGACCACGACACAGACTACATCAGCAACTGTGACAACTGGAACGGAAGGACACACCGATATTACAAAAACAACTGATACTCCTCTCGCTTCATTGACGTGGTTAGCAAGTGGTACTGCCGCAGACGATGAGACAAAAGAAACTTATAAACTGTCGACTCCAACAGTAACAGATACTTTTACGACCATATTCGAGACACAGACTGACGCGGTACAGACATCCGTACCATGCACTAGCTTTCAACCGAGCTCACACAGTGCGCCAACAGTAGGTGTGACTTCACGCTTTGTTTCAATAACGAGCAATCTTGAGACATCAGGTATAAGTACTCACGCTATATCAGAGACTGGCGCTACAATCACTGACGATACATCAACTACAGATGAGGTTAGTACTGCAAGTATAACAGAAACTCGTACTGCAACTCAAGGCAGTGCATTAACTGCAGACGAAGTTAGTACTGCAAGTATAACAGAAACTGGTTCTACAACTCAAAACGAAACATCAACGGTAGCTTGGATTAGTACTGCAGATGAAATAGAAACTATTACAGCAACTGAGGTTGAAACATCAACTGAAGCTGTGCTTAGCACTGCAGGAAGAACAGAAACAGGTATTGCAACTGAGGACGAAATATCATCTGCAGCTGAAGTTAGTACTGCAAGTTTAACAGAAACAGGTACTGCAACTGCGGAAGAAATGTCAACTGCAGCTGCAGTCAGTACTGCAGGTATAACCGAAACAGGTACTGCAACTGAGGAAGAAATGTCAACTGAAGCTGGGCTTGGTACTGCAGGAAGAACAGAAACAGGTATTGCAACTGAGGAAGAAATATCATCTGCAGCTGAAGTTAGTACTGCAAGTTTAACAGAAACAGGTACTGCAACTGAGGAAGAAATGTCAACTGCAGCTGCAGTCAGTACTTCAAGTATAACAGAAACTGCCACTGAAACTCATAATGAAACATTATCTGCAACTGAGATTAGTACTCCGCATATAACTCAAGCTAGTGCTATAATTCAAGACGGAACATCAATCGCAGCTTCGTTTATCACTACAGGTATGAATGAAGCTGGTACTACAAGTGAAGATGAAAGATCAACTGCAGATAGAGTTAGTACAGCGCATATAACTGAAGCTGCTACTGCAACTGCAGTTGAAACATTAATGACAACTGGGGTTAGTACTACAGGTATGACAGAAACCGGTACTACAACTGAAAGTGGAATGTCAACTGTAGCTAGGGTTAGTACTGCAAGTATAACAGCAACTGGTATTGCAACTGAAGCCGAAACATCAACTGCAGCTGCAGTTAGTACTGCAGGTATAACAGAAACTGGTATTGCAACTAAAGACAAAACATCAGTGGTATCTTGGATTAGTACTGCAGGTGAAATAGAAACTGTGACTGCAACTGAGATTGAGGTTCAGGCATCAACTGCAGCCCTGGCTAGTACTGCAGGTATATCAGAAGCTGGTACTACAGCTCAAAACGAATTATCAACTGCAGCGGGGGTTAGTACAGCTGGTATAACGGTAACTGATACTGCAACTGAAAGCGTAACATCAACCGCAGGTTCAAATAGTACCGCAGATAGAGCAGAAACTAGTATTGCAACTGCAGACGAAACTGTAGCTTCAGTTAGTACTGTAATTAGAACAGAAATTGGTATTGCAACTCAGGATGGAACATCAACTGCACCTGGTGTTAGTACTGCAAGTAAAACAGAAACTGGTACTGCGACTGAAGTCGAAACATCAACTGCAGCTGACACTCAATCAACTGCATATGGATTAAGTTCAACTATTGTGACAGAAGCAGGAACTAAAAAACAAGACGAAACATCTACTACAGCTGAAACAAATACTCCAGTTGAAACAGGTATCACAATATTAAAACAAAAAAATAGCAGTTAAATTATAAGATATATAAGTTATTAACAGGTCTTTCAAGATAAAGTGTCAACTGTAGGTAAAAAAAAACCTTCACGTTTGAGACAAAACACTTGACAACTTAAGCAATAACAGAAATAGGCACCATAATCACTACTAAACATGAGAATACACAGACGACGTTTCATGTTGCTATGTTTCCAATATTTTCAAGTAATTTACTGGGGCCTAAACCAAATCACGGAGTTCGCGAGATGATATGCGTGTCATGTCCTAATTTATGTCACAGCCTAACATTGTACACCTAAGCAATCGCTCGGTATGGTGTACAAAAACATTTGGCAGAGAAACACATGATATTATTGCATGAGTTACTAGTATTTAGTTTCGTTCTTAGAGTACATCTATGCAAATCAATAAATTATAACAAATAAAGTTATAATTTTGGTGTACTTTTTAGCGACCATAAATGTGACCAAAATCTGGGAACAAAATCAAATTATTACCGTTATTGATGCATTACATAAACGATAAATTTACAATGCAAAATGTTTAATCCACATTTAGCTTTTCATAGTAGTGACATGACGAATTCGACTCATATGCGAGAATTCTACACATGCGATCAAAACGTAGATAGGACACAGTATTTGGATTCATTAACATAATACCGAAAATAAATCATCACTGCAAAGCCGTTAGTGTAGATAGTTGCACGCTGGGCATAGAGGCATAGATATCCATGGCATAGAGGTGTACGTACTATATCATATATATACATACTATTACAAATATACACCTGTTCTATTACAGCAAACTTGTGTAATACACCAATATCCGCCATACAGCATCCTATAAATAAATAAATAAATAAATAAATAAATAAATAAATAAATAAATAAATAAATAAATAAATAAATAAATAAATAAATAAATAAATAAATAAATAAATAAATAAATAAATAAATAAATAAATAAATAAATAAATAAATAAATAAAATTTAATCTTGCAGTACCTACTACAGCACATCCAACAACAGAAGCAACATCAACTGGTACAACAATTAAAGACGAAACGTCGGTTGCAGATGAATTAAGTACTCTGGTGACAGAAGAAACATATACGGTAACTCAAGATAAAACGTTGATTACAGATGAATTAGGTACTATGTCTGCAACAGAGCCAGGTAAGAAAATTATGCATTCATATTTGAGTTCATTACAAAATTAATAAGAATAATATTCGGAATAATAATTGAACTATATTTGAGACGAGTAAATAAAGAAACTGAAACCGCCTTTCTTTTTCAGTTAAAACAACAATGCTATCAGAGACAACAACAGCAAAAGAAACATACGGTACAGAAATCACTTCCCAGTTCACACCATTCCTTACAACAACCCAGGAAACTACAGATGAAATGGCCACTAAAAAAGAAACCACAACTTATGATGACATCACTTCCCAGTTCACACCATTCCTTACAACAACCCAGGAAACTACAGATGAAATTGCCACTGAAAAAGAAACCACAACTTATGATGACATCACTTTCCAGTTCACACAAATTCTTACAACAACCCAGGAAACTACAGACGAAATGGCCACTGAAAAAGAAACCACAACTTATGATGACATCACTTTCCAGTTCACACCATTCCTTACAACAACCAAGGAAACTACAGATGAAATTGCCACTGCAAAAGAAACCACAATTTATGATGACATTACTTCCCAGTTCACACCAATTCTTACAACAACCCAGGAAACTACAGACGAAATGGTCACTGAAAAAGAAACCACAAGTTATGATGAAATCACTTTCCAGTTCACAGCATTCCTTACAACAACCAAGGAAACAACAGATGAAATTTCCACTGCAAAAGAAACCACAAGTTATGATGACACCACTTCCCTTTCCACACCATTCCTTACAACAACCCAGGAAACTACAGATGAAATATCTACAGAGATCACAAGTTATGATGAAGCCACTACCCAGTTTACCCCAGCCCGTACCACAACTCAACAAACTACGAAGGTGATGACCACAGAATCGGAGGCCACAAGTTATGTTAAGGCCACTTCCCAGTTTGTATCAACCACTACCACAACCGAGGAAATTACAGAGGTACTATCCACGGAAATTGGGACCATAAGTTATGATGAAACCTCTTCTAAATTTGTATCAACCCCTACCACAACCAAGGAAATTACAGAAGTACTATCTACAGAAATAGAGACAACAAGTTATGACAAAACCACTACCCCTACTACACCAGTACCTACTACAGAGACCGACCCTGCGATGGACACCACTCATTTTAAAGAAACTACTGTGCAGTCAACTGTTCCTCTTACTAATTACGACAAAATAACATCAAAGTCCACAGCAGGTACTACATCACCATATGCACTCACAGTAGGAGAGGGAACTGAATTGGAGACTACTATTGTCGATGAACCATTCACATCAATTGGCTCAACAACAGCAGGAATGGACGACGAAACGATTATGACTACTACTGAAACAATAGTAACAACAGAACCAGGCGTATCAACATATGGTACAACAGCTACAACGCAGCACATGTCAACCCAAACAGATGGCATTACTACAACAGCAGCAGTGTGCAAAACTCAGAATTACATATGCATTGCTCAATACCCGAGTCAGAGATTTAAGATGAAATTGGTTATATTTGGCCTAACATGGGTCGATGACCTTAATGATGATAACACATGCATGTACAAAGATGAAGCTGACAGCATTGGGCATGGGGTAAGTATTCTGTACAATTAAGTATAGTCAAGTAACTGTTAATGAAAGTGGCAAACTACTGTTTGCATTAGCACCTATTTAGCTTTGTAATCAATCCAGCGAATCAATGGAATATAATTTACTCTTCCCCCTATGTGTACTGTGTATTCAGCCTCAATGTTATTTTTGGTAGCCATAAATATGTTGTTTTTTAATATGTTCCTCTTATGATTTAAGTCTTAATTATGTTATGTTAATTATACATTATCACTAAACACACAGCTTCATATAGTGTTTGATGTAGGCAGACTGGGAAGAATAATACCGTGCTACCATGTCACCAAGTTTACGTGAGTATTCTGTATAATATATAATGAATATGTATGGCTTCACTTAATATAGTATAACTCCTCGTAATACACTATCTTGGTTGTAACTGTCAAGATTCAATTTCTGCTGACTATTGTAGTAACTGGATTGTTTTTTTCCAACAGGTTACATAATCATAATAGAAGGAAAAGACAGGTCTACATTGCTCCCACAGATACCGAGGATATTATTGAAGTAGAAGTGGAGATACCTATACCATTGAATGAAACTGACATTACGGTCGAGTATATTGAAACTGAATTTGAATATGGTCTGAATGTGACTGATGCTTTCAGAAATATATCCTCAAAAACCGTCATACTTAGTATGACCAACGTAACCAAATTAGGTAATGTACACACACACACATTCATATAGGCAACTTGTATCCCCGCGATTTGCATATATTTGAAATTTGCAATCGGAAATTATGCTCAACTGAAAATTCAATACTGATCAGTAAACAGAAAACATGAAGAATTTCACAATATCGAAAACAGGAAATAATTATCGTAGTGTTAGTATCAATTACATGCACATATTAATTATTATTAGTAGTAATTATTCATCCACATAAAATAGTATGTCTGCACAAAGACTTATTATTTCAATCACTCCTTCCATTATTTTTCAGATCCATACACACTGGCACCTACAACTGAATTTCCGGCAACAACTGTCGGGGATATGGAAACCATGACAACTTATATCGATGCATATACTGACCAGATTACAACAGGCATAATCACAGTGGAAGGCACTGAAGTAGTTTCCACCGATGTCCTTGTTGCTGAGACAGGTGTTACAACAGAACCAATCATGACGAATGGTTTCTTTAGCAATGACACAGAAAATGAAACTACTATTATCGCTACTACTAGTGAACCAGCTACAACAACACAACCAAGCACACCATCAGACCTAATAACAGAAGGAGATACAGTTGACACAGCCAGTCCGTTTACCGATGGAACAGAAGGTGAAACATCTACATTACAAACTACTACCAGTGAACCAGTTACAACAACAAAACCACACACAACATCAGGTCCCGCGACAGAAGAACGTACAGTTGATACAGCCAGTCCGTTCACAGATGGAACAGAAGGTGAAACATCTACATTGAATACTACTGCCAGTGAGCCAGTTACAACAACAAAACCACACACAACATCAGGTCCTATGACAAGAGAAGGTACAGTTGATACAGCCAGTCCGTTCACAGATAGAACAGAAAGTGAAACATCTACATTACAAACTACTACTAGTGAACCAGTTACAACAACAAAACCACACACAACATCAGGTCCTACGACAGAAGAAGGTACAGTTGATACAGCCAGTCCGTTCACAGATGGAACAGAAAGTGAAACATCTACATTACAAACTACTACTAGTGAACCAGTTACAACAACAAAACCACACACAACATCAGGTCCTACGACAGAAGAAGGTACAGTTGATACAGTCAGTCCGTTCAAAGATGGAACAGAAGGTGAAACATCTACATTGAAAACTACTACCAGTGAACCAGTTACAACAACAAAACCACACACAACATCAGACCCTACGACAGAAGAAGGTACAGTTGACACAGCCAGTCCATTCACAGATGGAACAGAAAGTGAAACATCTACATTACAAACTACTACCAGTGAACCAGTTACAACAACAAAACCACACACAACATCAGGTCCCGCGACAGAAGAAGGTACAGTTGATACAGCCAGTCCGTTTACAGATGAAACAGAAGGTGAAACATCTACATTACAAACTACTGCCAGTGAGCCAGCTAGGACAACAAAACCACACACAACACCAGGCTCTACGACAGAAGAAGGTACATTTGACACAGCCAGTCCATTCACAGATGGAACAGAAGGTGAAACATCTACATTGAAAACTACTGCCAGTGAGCCAGTTACAACAACAAAACCACACACAACATCAGGTCCTACGACAGAAGAAGGTACAGTTGACACAGCCAGTCCGTTCACAGATGGAACAGAAGGTGAAACATCTACATTAAAAACTACTACTATTGAATCAGTTAAAACAGCACAACCAAGCACACCATCGCCAGTTATAACAACCCAATCAGATACATCGACACAGCCAAGTGGTGTCAAAACTACAGCACCGGTTCCCACAATGAGACAGGTTACTACATCACAGACAGACGCTACATCAGGTACACCAATTACATCAATAGTTACTGTACCAACACAAAGTACAAGTGACGATGCAACTACATCAAAAGATACTACACCAACACAAAGTACAAGTGGCGATGTAACTACATCAAAGGATACTAAACCAACACAAAGTACAAGTGGCGATGTAACTACATCAACGGTTACTACACCAACAAAAAGTACAAGTGGCGATGCAACTACATCGAAGGTTACTATACCAACACAAAGTACAAGTGGCGATGTAACTACATCAAAGATTACTACACCAACAAAAAGTACAAGTGGCGATGTTACAACTGCACCGAAAGTTACTACACCACATCAAGATCCCACAACACTTCAAGTTACAACTGCGCCTACTACAGCAACGGTTTTACCAACGTGTACACCAGAGGAATATATCTGTAAAGTACAGATACCCAGTCAAAGATTTATGATGACCTTATATATATATGGATTACCCTGGAACGATGACCTGTCAGACAAATCAACGTGCACGTTTCGTGACGAGGCTGATTACATTGGCAAGGGGGTAGGTAATCATACATTAAATCGCAAGTCAAAGTTTCAACTTTCTATAACGTGTCTTTGGAAATATTGACCAACACGATTACACACATGCACATGTCTCAAGGTCGTTGCAATACAATTGCCAAGACTGGGTGTAACTGTTACTATAGTTTAGTGTTTTATTGTTTAGTAAGACACGTGTATATCCTCACCATATCTACTCCTGTTTTCATCATGCAGATGTATAAGGTATTCGATGTTGGTAAACTCCGTGGGCTTACATACTGTTATTACGTTCTATCATTCACGTAAGTACACAATACTGGAATTTGTTTATGATTATTATTTATTATATGATAAGTTGGTTTTAGGTTGATTGATACCCTATAGACTATTACTTAAATCACGCCCTCTACATCTCATTAAAAGATAAAACGCCACTGATCATGCTACACGATGATATCGTAATACGTGTGAGGGCGTGAACCTGATTATGTGTCAATGGCGCAACCGGATTGAATATAAAGAAATCGCGGTCTACGCGACTGTCTTTTTTTCTATTTTTGACATTTCAAACATTTAGTAATTAAGCTCAATAAATCAACAATGCTACCAAGTTTCCTATTCGAAATAACTAAAAAAAGGCCGAGAGGCTCTCCGTCTGTTGTGTTTTGTACTCATACATATTATATATTCATATGAACGTTGTGACAGTTTTACGGATTGTACTTGAGGGACCGCTGGTGGTCTTTTAACGTAACATTGCGATGTCTCACTACTACCTACTATTCTAACAGGGAATCACCACCTATCAGGAGGAAGAGGCAGAAACCCATGGTGAATGTTCCCATGCATGAGAATATTACTAAAGTAGATGTCGAAATACCGATTCCTTTAAATGAAACTGACGTCACGGAGGCATTGATCCTAGAAGAATTTACATATGGGCTGAATCAAACTGATGCGTTCAGGGAGTTTTCTAACAAAACTGTCATAATTGACCGGACTGATGTTATAAAACTAGGTACAAACTCTATTTAGTTTTATCATACCCATGGTCGTGCCGCTGATTGAACTGAACACGGTCACGTGATGGTGAACACAACTCACTATTGGCTTAGAGACAATAATGAACATCAATTGACCTCGATTTCGTTATTGCGCATGTGCAGATGTTTACAAAAAACAACAAAAAATGTCATACGGTTTATGTCGTGATTATTTATTTGGCATAATAAAACATATAGTTACCGAGGTGGAGGTCATTATTAAGTTTTAATGAAATATTGACCTTGATTGTGCCTTTCTTTCTCGTCGGGTATTCAAAACTAAATATGTTCCTCCATTTCGGTATCTATGTTTAAAATAGCGTGGTTGTAGACGGATTGCACATGTAGTCTATGTAGTGTACTAATGTATGATGATATTAAATTTCTTTCAGATTCCTACACCATGGAACCTCCCACGGAATCCACAGAAGAAGGTAAGTGTTAATTGGTAAACCATTTGAAAGATGTCAGTATTCAACGATATCATTTGAAAACATTATAATATCTATTCAATCGGCCAATAGAAACCTCTCGTTTTTGTTTGAATTGTGAAGTTTATAAATAATTGTAAAGATGAAGGTAATATCTTTGTTGCGCCGAGAGTAAACTATATATTTTTAAAAAAATGCGTATTTGCACATTTACACACGAGAAAACAAGCAATGTATTTAGCACGCGTTCTATTCCCCGAAGTGTATTGAATACAACCTGCGCGATACCATCAGTCTTTAAAACGGGAGGGTCGTCACTTGCTGCAGTTTAGCAGCTCTTATTGGCCGCTTAAGCTATTTTGATATTACGTTGCGGCCATAGAGCTGCAGATCGCGTCCATTGAGAACCGCACAGTTCGCCGCCCCGGAATCCCGGGGCGCACGCTATTTTTGATGTTATCGAACGATTTCAATGAAATTTAAAACGAATAAAAGTTATCCTTGCAAACACAAACATCTTAGGTATCTACTGACCGAAAATGAAGGACTATTTCTTCTTGAAAAGTATATATTTCTGTGTATAATTAGACCGAACGTAATTTAATCGATTGAACGACGGATTTCAAGATGACCTCTGTCATGTGACCTGAACACATGACAATGACGAAGCATGCGCAGTTGACATTTTAACTGAAAATTGAGAATGGCAGGTTCTGCAGGGTGTATGGAAAACGAAGACCTAAGACCCTGGAAAACGAAGACCCTGGCCCTGGAAAACGAAGACCCCGGAATGTTCCTATGACGCCAATGATACACGAATTCGCCCAATATCGGGCATTTACTTTCATTGTGAACTCGTTAACTAACTTCCCGTACGATTTCATTGGG